AGTCCAGACCGAACTCCCCCACGTGCGCCAGAGCGCTGCCGTTCATGAACGCACGACTGATGGTCTGAGAAGCAGCAGAAACTCATCAGATCAAACAAACACAGCTGACAAGTGATGAGAATGAGATGAAGATTCCAAGCAGCATCAACACAGAGCCTGTGTGTGTGTGTGTGTGTGTGTGTGAGAGAGAGAGAGAGACGGTGTGTCGCACCCCAGACGCCTCGTTAGAGAAACGAGCAGATACTCCACATGAGATCAGCAGAAGCAGCTGTAAGATCTCGAGCAACACACACACTCTCTCTCTCTCTCTCTCTCTCTCTCGGAGTGAATATCTGCTGAATATCAGTGTGTTTCTGCTTGTATTTAGTGTAAATGATTCATAAACGTCTCTCTCAGTCAGTCAGATCATCTGATAGTTCAGGATTTAAACTGTACTCAAGACTCTTAGACGTCTGCAGTGTTTAGTAGTTTGTCGTGTAACGACTCTAAACCAGAGCTCCTCGCAACAAGATCTGCATGAACCTCATCAGAACCTTTTTCTGTTAGATCAATGACTGTCATCAACAGCTTACTTTGTTAGCTGAACTGTTGACATGTTTCTAGCAGCTACAGTTCACTTTTATTCAGAGACTCAAACTTTATGTGAGCATGTATTTGTGTGTGTGTGTGAGTGTGTTTATGTGAGCATGTATTTGTGTGTGTGTGTGTTTATGTGAGCATGTATTTGTGTGTGTGTGTGTTGTGGGCTGAGCTCTAAGTCTCGAGTGTGTGTCAAATATTTACAGCAGCAGCCTGTTGAACTGCGAAGGACGGAGAAAACCCGTCAGACAGACAGACAGAGAGACAGACATGATCTAGTGATGGAAGATGAAACGCTCAATATTTCCATGTTAAAGTGTCTCTGGTTTCTATTTCTCAGTGTTTGTCCTTCATGAGCTGCTTCAGTTGTTTTTCAAAAAGCCTGAGGACGAGAAGCTCATGGCTCGTGCGCTTTGGGTGTTGAGCAATAGTTTGTCTGGTCAGCCTGTTTAACCACACTCAAGTTAACCGCTTCACCACCTTAAGCAGCAAAACCAGTGCATTTGAGCAGCTGGAGTGCAGAAGCAGAGGCCTCTCTCAGCTCACAGCTGTCTGTCTGTCTGTGTACTCTCTCTGTCTGACTTCAGATACGCCACAAACACGCTCCCGCACCTCTGAAGTCATCCGTCTGAGTGTGTGTGTGTGTGTGTGTGTGAGTTAATGGTGTGACGGTGGAAAGAGCTCGGGGTGGAGGGTGTGAAGTGTTTATAAGAGCTGGAGAATCATGAAAAACAACCAGAGATTGAAGCAGAAGACCCACGGACAGAGTCAGCTCTTCAGGTGCGTCAGATCCATCGGCCAGCTTTACATAAGACCAGCAGATGTGTGTGTGTGTGTGTGTGTGTGTGTGTGTGCATGTTTATGTGGTTTATGAGGACACAAATTTGTATAATAACAAGTGTCCCGGTAATTCAAAAGGCTTATAAATAATTCAGAATGAGTTTTTTTGAAAATCTAAAAATGCAGAAAGTTTCCTGTAAGGGGTAGGTTTAGGGGTAGGGTTGGTGTAGGGCAATAGAATATACGGTCTGTACAGTATAAAAACCATTACGCCTATGGAGAGTCCCCATAAACCATAAAAACCAACGTGTGTGTGTGTGAGTGTGAGTGAGTGTGTGTGTGTAAATGTGCGTCAGTCTCGGTGTGTTTCATGTTGTTTTGTGTGTTTCAGACGGACCTGCTGCAGTCATGTGTGTCGCTCTTCACTGTGTGTTTCTCTGTGTTTCTCTGGCGCTCGGTGCTTGTTATGGTGTGTATGAAGCTCTCAGCAGACTCACACACACACACACACACACACACACACACACTAACAGATGTCTCTCTCTCCCTGCAGATTCTCAGGAGAGCCACGAGTCATTCGAGGGTAAATGTTCATGATTCTCTTCTGTCTCTGTTTGCTTTGGCTCCGTGCAGCACGTCTGTGTTTATGTGAAGCTGAAGAACCGCTGCTGGACTTCTGTGTCTAAAATCAGCTCAAGATCAATGCTGTGATGAGACAGTGTGATGAAAAGCTGCATTCATTTGACATAGATATTTGTTTATCCCATATTACTGTGCTGTACATTTGCTTTGACATAATCTGTATTGTTAAAAGCGCTATTTATAAATAAAGGTGACTAGACTTGACTGTGTCTTATGTCAAACAAACATCTGTTTTGTTTCAGTATTTGTGAATCCATATCAGGCGAATGCTTTCATGAGGAGTCCACAAGATCGCATCTACAACCAGTACATCTACAGGAGGTACAACACACACACACAGTTATACACACACACTCTCACACACACACTCACACACTCTGACACACACACACACACACACACACACTCTGACTGACACACTCACACACACACAGACACACACACACTCTGACACACTCACACAGGCACACACACACTCACTCACACTGACACACACACACTGACACACACACACACACACACGACGCACGCACTCAAACACACGCACACGCTGTCACACACACACGCATACAAACACACGCACACACACACACTGACACACACGCACACACACACGCACACACAGACGCACAGACAGACGCACAGACAGACGCACAGACACACACTGACACACACACACAGACACACAGACACACAGAAGGTTCTCCACGTGTGTGTGTTCATGAGTCTTGTTTCTGTCAGACTCTCAGTGCGTGCCGTTAGCGTGAACTCTCAGCGTGAAGCAGCACTGCTGCCGGCTGGATATAAACACACACACACAGCCTGTATCTGTCAGGATTATCAGCAGTTTCTCACTCCTGTGGAGCCACGGCTAATGAGACACGCTGAAGCTCCAGAGGCTAAAGCCTGAGAGTAAGAGACGACTGACAGCACGAGACCTCGTGACATTCACCATGATTCATCACGTCACAACTGGAGAAAACACACAGTGAAAACTGATAAAATATTCCTACATATGTATTGTAGTGGAATAGGACTGAATGTAATTGCTTGTGTTTATAACTGAGGTGGATACTGAAGAGGCGCTGCTGCTGATAGTGTGGTTTCTCACCTCGATGACGTCGGTCTTGGCGTCTCCCCAGTAGATCTTCCTCTCGCTGTAGTCGAGCGCCAGTCCGTTGGGCCAGCCCAGAGACGTGTTGACCAGCACCAGCCTCTCCGTCCCGTCCAGAGTCGCCCGCTCGATCTTCGGCACTTCACCCCAGTCTGTCCAGTACATGTACCTGCGGCGACACGGGACACACGCTTCAGCACACGCTGAACACGGAGCTCCAGCAGCCTCTGACGACACTAGAGCAAGGCTATGTTTTCATGAAAGGGTTCAATAGCGACTGGATTTCAGCTCTCGGAGCAGCTCAAATCCTGAAAATGGATTGTTCACAATCAAAAAATGGTTTTGAAATCAGATTAGATCATATAATCTAGTCTGAGGGTGCAAAAAAATCCAAATATTGAGAAAATCACCTTTAAAGTTGTTCAAATTAAGTTCTTAGCAATGCATATTACTAATCAAAAATTAAGTTTTGATATATTTACGGTAATATATTTACAAAATATCTTCATGGAACATGATCTTTACTTAATATCCTAATGATTTTTGGCATAAAAGAAAAATCAATAATTTTGACCCATACAATGTATTGTTGGCTATTGCTACAAATATACCCCAGCGACTTAACACTGCTTTTGTGCTCCAGGGACACATTTCAGGAACAAAATGTTTTTAAATTACTTCAAAACTGGTAACACACTGTATCCATATTTATGTTTCGCACCTGATTTAACCGTTATACGCGTCACACGTTTATAACAAATGTTATAAATTGTTTTTCCCTTCCTTCTGACAAAGTAATGCCTTTAAACTCCGATGAGTTTGGATTACTCCGCTCTATTCAGTCCTCTAAAAGAGTATAAGAACCAGAAAATGAATCTTAGGAAATTCATTGGAGCCTGTGTAACTTCAGCAAACAAACACATATTAAGCAAAGCAAACATTCCGGAGTTTGCTGAAGAAAAACTAAAGTGAAGCTATGAATGTGCACTATGACTGAATTATTCTCCGAATGATCAGTGAACTACTGACTGAAATGAAGCAGGAAGAGGCCGTCTAATCGCCACATGAAACTCATTCAGCCTGAAGAGTTCAAGCAGACGAGGTCTCACCCGGCGGCGGGGTCCAGCACGATGGCCCTCGGCTCGTCCAGCTCCTCCGAGATCAGGATCTTCCTCATGCTTCCGTTCAGCCGCGTCACCTCGATCCGGTCCGTGCCGGTGTCGGTCCAGTACAGGTTCCGTGCGATCCAGTCCACGGCGATCCCGTCCGGATGATTCACCTGCGAGGTCACCACGAACTGAGCCTCGCTCCCGTCCAGGTGGGACCTGCGGATGGCCTGCACCTCGTCGTCCGTCCAGTAGATGTGTCCCTCCACCGGGTCGAAGTCGATGGCGATGGCGTGCCGGATGTCGTCGGTCTGCAGCACGATGTCGGTGAAGTCTGGCGTGTCCAGAGAGATCCGCCGCAGGTCTGTGCGCCGCGCCAGAAGCAGCAGCTGAGTGGCACCTAGAGAGGGTCAGAGGTCAGAGGTCACAGAACTCAAGAGCATAACTCGTCGGAAGCAAAATAAACCACAATCTCTGAACTGCCCAGTGCATGAAAAGCAATGGTTTTGCCTTAAAGCAAACAAGGGTGTTTTACTCCAGAATGTGTTAAACATGTTCAGTCACTGCACACACACAGAATGAAATGAACCCGCTCAAGATGAGGCCATTGAACAGAGAAACAATCTCCCATCAGGCCGTGCCTGTGGCGTCCATTCAGAGGGGGGAGGGACGCAGACAAAAGGCCTTACAAATGAGTCTCTTTCAGCCAAACGCATTCAAACAGAGAAGACTGTTCCCAGCAGCCCGGTGTGAACGGCAGCCTGCGATCACTCAGTACAGACACACACCGGCGGTCATGTGACCCAGAAACACGGATCCCAGGTAGAACCGCGTTACCATAGCAACCACCGGACGGTAACCCTGCTACGTCAACCGAGAGCGGATTAAAGTGAGCCGGCAGCCGCTGGTAACCATCAAACACACACACACACACTCACACGCACACACACTCTCGCACTCACTCTCACACACACCCACACACACACACACACACACACTCTCGCACTCACTCTCACACACACCCACACACTCACACGCACTCTCTCTCTCACACACACTCTCGCACTCACTCACTCTCGCACACACACTCTCACACACACACCCACACGCACTCTCTCTCTCACACACTCTCGCACACACACTCTCACACACCCACACACTCACACGCACTCTCTCTCACACACACACACACTCTCGCACTCACTCTCGCACACGCACTCACTCACTCTTGCACACGCACTCGCACGCACTCTCGCACACGCACACGCTCTCTCGCACACGCACACGCTCTCTCGCACACGCACACGCTCTCTCGCACACGCACTCTCGCACACGCACTCTCGCACACGCACTCTCACTCTCTCACACACTCTCGCACTCACACACTCTCACACACACTCACGCACTCACACACACTCTCGCACTCACACACACTCTCGCACTCACACACACTCTCGCGCACTCACACACACTCTCGCACTCACACACACTCTCACACACACTCTCTCTCACACACTCTCTCACACACACAATATAAACATAAGCTCCTGTAACTTTCTATATAACGATTCCTGTAATCATGTAAAGGTTTGACTTTTCAAAAATGTCCTCACTAACAGTGAAACCTGTTGAGCACAGACTGAGTCACTAGGGCTCATAAATCATGTTTCTATTTAAATCTCGGGTTTTGCACAGGTTTCTCTGAGAGCTGGTTTAGGGGTCAGAGGTCAGGTCAGGACATAGAAAACAACATTAACCACATAGAAAAACAGTGAAAGCCTATAAGATGCACTCACTAGTGTGTGAGCGTGTGTGTGAGAGAGAGAGAGTGTGTGTGTATGAGAGAGTGTGTGTGTGTGTGTGTGTGTGTGCGTGCGAGTGTGCGTGTGCGTGAGATAGTGTGCGTGTGTATGTGAGTGTGTGTGTGTGTATGTGAGTGTGTGTGTGTGTGTGTGTGAGAGAGAGAGTGTGTGAGTGTGCGTGTCTCACCGTCTCTGCAGGTCTTGTTGTCGTCCAGTAGCTGGACGCCGGTCGGACAGGCGCACTGGTAATAAGGTTTGACCGGAGATAGCAGACACAGATGAGAACATCCTCCGTTCTTCAGCACGCAGGGACTCGTCACCTCTATCACACACACACACACACA